ATGCTTATTCCAGCCTCCTTTTCTGAGTCTTATGTTTTCACTGAATATATTTCAGTTTTGTTATGTTGATCAAATATAACAATTTATGTAACTGAGTTGTGAAGGACATATTTCACTGATCTTTTGTTGACACTTTATCAACAAAGCAGTGAATTGGTTGATAAAGGAAATAGATCAGCTGGAATAAAATTAATTTATGTTGTGTGAAGTTTTTTAAGGTTTTCTTTAGTTATTTGTTAAGAATGCTCAGTTTCTGGGTCTTAATTTGTAACTGAATAGACCTATATTTGAGCTGTGTTTTTCTTTCTTCTTCTTCTCCTCACCCTTTTTCGAATATGTAGATTAAATCATCAATCCATTGATCCCCCCCCCTTCACTGTTGATAAATAATCCTTTTTTCAGTTTATTTTTTCCACTTGTTTGTATAATTTCTCTTTTTTATTTACATGCTAAAATGAACATACACAAAAATGAATGAATGGAAAAAAAGCAGTTTTCATTTTTTATTGATTAAAAAAAACAATTGATTGATTAGCAGATACACATAATCAATTCACCTGAGGGTGAAATGGTTCTGATTCTGCTTCTGTTTTCATCAAAAACGAGCCATTCGAGTTTGGATGTGTTGCTCAAACAAAACCGGAAACATGTTTCGACATCTCGCACACAAATTGACAAATCGATTAATGGGTGGAATCGATGAGGAAGTCATGGCAGCAGCACGTGAAACCAAAACGGGGGCTGTGATTGGACGGCGGGGGGAGTGGTACTTTCCGAGCGGTCCGTGAAGGCAGCAGCAGTCTCCGGGATCCTGGGTGTGAGCAGCCAGTGGAGCTCCGACACAGAAAACACCAGGAAGCCCTCAGCGTGTCTGTCATCTGTCACCTGCCCGGAAAACTTCTCGCCCTCCTCCGCAACACGGACCGAGAATGGACAACCACCGGAGCTAGTTTTGCTCAGAGGACACACGCCGAGGAGGGGGGAACTGTGCTAAAATAACTACCAGGTTAGTTAGCTCCGCACACGCAGCTTCTCTCGCTGCCAGCTGTAATTCCTCGTCATGTCAGTCGCTTCATCTTTTTCTTTTTTAGTTGCTAAGTGGCCCCCGCTAGCTAGTTAACTCGTCTGGCGTGTGGGGGTGAGGCGGACGCTTGGTTAGCTTCACAGCGAGCTAGCTTAACGTCTCCCAGTTGCATGCCCTCGGTTAGCTTTGCAGACTGTCACTCCCCAAGCTAGCCAGCTAACGTTAGCGGCTGAGGTTAGCTTCAGGAACGAGGGTCGGAGTGTGTGGTTCGCGGATGCTGGAGCTCACTCGCTGTTCTATTGCGTGTGGGGGACGTATCGTGTTGAATGTGAGGGGCGCATCATGTTGAGGGGACACTCGGGGAGTTGGTTGTTCGAGTCGTTAACTTTGAGCGTGCTCGTCTCTCAGCAGCCTGGTTGGCTGTGACGAACGTAAACGTAACAGTGTCCTGTGTTTTTTTCCAGGTTGAGCCTCCAGCCGCCTACGTCTCAGTCCGGAGCAGGACCACGGGGAACAGTGGAGATGCAGACCTTCCTGAAGGGCCGGCGAGTCGGCTACTGGCTCAGCGAGAAGAAGATGAAGAAGCTGAATTTCCAGGCCTTTGCTGATCTGTGCAGGTAAGTGGTCACAAACCGATTTCAATGCATACAGGGCAAGTGATTGTGCTTCTTAACCACAACAACAACACCCCGACATGCATCCACAATGGGTCTACATCATTAAATATTTATGCCACAGTGTATTAAGAGGTGTGCTGTCAGACAGTGACAAACAGGACTGATGATCCTCTCCTCTTACAGGGAATAGACCCTGTTTTGCAGTTTCCATTAGAGCTTTCATACACATATACACACACACACACACACACACACAGCATCAGTGACTTACCTCTGATTCTTTCACTCTCTACCGGAGGACAGGGGCCCCAGAAGAAGAGCCCACTGCAATTTTTTTCTTTTACTGTAGTAGGTTTTGTTTGTTATGTCTCAAGTTGGAGCTTGTTGAGACATGGCACAAGGGGGAATGTGTGTAGGCAGAGCTGCTGATCCCAGTTAAAGGTGCATGTGTAACAGGACTGGCAGATAAAACAGATGTTCTTATTTACTTAATTGTCTGCCTCGTTGTTAAAACCAGAGGACTTGCTCTGTGATTATGTCAGTACTATACTCTCATCATAACTGGAAATGTTTCATATCACAGAGACCAATCTTTTTGTCTCTAGAATTGATTTAGCTACAACAAAATGTACTTTATTTGACCACATGCAGAGCCATGACATGAATTAATCAAGGGTGTGTTTCTACTCTAATCAGAAAACAAGAAATATATATTTTCTGTATGTTTCTACTCTAATCAGAAAACAAGAAATATATATTTTCTGTATGTTTCTACTCTAACTCAGATTTGTTCTTATACCCCCCACTTTAATGGTGTTGGCTAACTGGGTGATGTATTTATTTTGTCTTGTTGTAGCTAGTCCATCTTCAGCAGAGTAAAATATTAAAAAGTATTGCATGTTTATTGTTTTTTTAGCAATCATGACTTCAGAAGAAATCTCTCCCTCTGTGATTACATTAGCTCCTCTTCAGTATATTGGTTTCTGGAAGTGCAACATTGCTTTGCTACCTGTGCTGTATGAGGTCTTCAGTTGTCCTGAAAACACATATATGTCAACAGCAATGTGCACAGAGCAAGAGGAAGATAGAGTTATTTGACTTAGCAAATAAGGGTGCTGTTGCTCCACAAAGTGACCTGATTGACTCAGAGCAGATTATAACATTGTAATCCACAAAACATTTTTAATCGCGTCATAAACCTTAAAGGAACCCCGCCCCCTGCATGAAGGGTGTGTCCTGGGTGTTAAGAGGTGTTGTTTGTGACAGATCAGGAAGATCAGGTCCTTTTTACAAGAACAAAAACAAAAACAAACACTTTTAAATGGAGAAGAGCTCTAAAATGGCTTCTTTTGCCCAGTCACTCAATTCACAACTTGTTTTCTACTTGTAGTTCTGTTTGACACATTTCCCTCGTCATACAGCATGCAAACTTTAGAGGAAGGAAAAGATGGAACTAAGATAAACTTGTGATGATCCTGGGGCTGAGACAGTATGGATTTTTCTCACCAATGTAATAAAGCAGCATATTACCGCGGGTCCCTCTCTCACAGAGGCAGCTTACATCTCTGATCTCCTACAGGTTTTCTATCTCCCCCATCATGTGGCATGCAGCTGACACTGCAAGTGCTCCAGTGTTGAGTCTACCCTGTCTTGTGCAGCTGGACTTTAAGGGGTTCCTGCTGCTCAGGGCCACTAGGGTTGATGTTTGTATCCCGTACCCTTACACAGCAATTTAGAGGCTTCCTACTAACTCATAAACACCTGATTAAGAAAAATGCTATGCCCTTTAAATTGGACAGCCTGGGCGTCATTGAATGATATGAAAATATTGTCACTTCATCCTGTCAAGGCAAGGCCACTGGGGCAACAACACTGATGAGATTTCTTTGTATGCTTGAGGGTTGTCTTTCACCCCAATGATAAGATTATTTAAAATCTGTGGAAAGTAGCACTCTAAAATCTATTGGTTCTAAAGAAGTCAACAGGTCAAACAGGTAAATTGGCCTCACCTGTCTGACTGGCTTTAGCTGATTCCAAGTTTTACACAACAAAGCCATTTTAATCAATAGTGTTTGAAATAATGACTATATGATTAAAATTCCTTCCTGTCTGTTAGTGTGTAATTAAAAGTGCCATGCTTTTATTTTTGCTGCACCTCAATGTTCTTGTGTGTGGAGCTTATTCAGAAAGTTCTGACCCTCGACCCCCTTGTTCATCCACTGGCTCTCCTCCTTCATCCCTTCCTTTCTGTTGGCCGTGTGACAATGCAGGATAGCAGGTCATCTCCATTCTGAGATGGGATGAAACCAAAGGCTCCCATTGACACCACATGAAACAGTCCAGCTGCAGTATTAAATATCCACATTGTTGTGAAGCAGTGAATGGCTGCACTGCTGTTACCATGGAGCTGTAACCTTAAAAACAACTACCCACCAGGCTGTGTTGGTGGTAGTGCTGCTGGACTGATTTTGCACTCATTGTAAATTCCCTCCAACTAGGACTAAGTTGTTTTGTTCATTCAAGTATTCCTTTTTTGCTTGAGCTAGCTACACCAGAAATATGCAAATGGCCTCTACTCCACTCTCTGCTTGGGTGCAGCTACAACATCAACCTTTAAGACCAATTTCTAGAAACATGTGGTTCTTCCTGTTGACAGGAAAGTGGTGTACTATGTTAAGACGGTCGCCTCTACAAACAACTCTGCTCTTGTAGGGGTCTGATGGTTGCCAAGCAACCAATTTTATTTCTTTAAAGTACAATATTCTCCAGCTCGAGAGGGATTTGATATTTTAGCTGCAATAATCCTGTTGCGCTGTCTTGCTATCAAACTTGTTTACTGGATAATGTAGCATAATTTATTTTTGATGTCCAGGTGCAGATGAGTCGCTCATGTCTCTAATAGAGATGTCCCGATGTATCTTCATGTCTCGAATGTCGTTACCAGTACTTCCAAAAGTCCATGATTGTGTATCAAATTCAATACCACAGCAAAAAACAACAGTCTGCAACACACAGACACACACACATCTCCATATTATTAGTGTCGAAGTAGTGCTTTAAATTGCAGGGGTGTGAAAATCACACACGATTAATTTAAAAAGTCAGTGTTATATTTTGACAGACGTTGGTGTACTAATGCTGTGAGCGCCAAGCTCACCTTATCAAGGTATCTCAACAGCTGCTGCTTGTCGCCACTTCCACCCACAAGTATAGAAATCACCAGCGAATCACTTTAAGAGCAGTGGCTGCATGAACCTAAACAAGACGAGGTTACCCTTACTGCTCATTGTGTGTGGAGCATTGCTACAACAGATGCCAGCTGTCGCAGTTCATATCCACTTAGATTTGTATTGGATTTCTTCCTTTGTAGGCTGTTGATCCTTTGAGCCCTAGCAAGTGAGACATTGTTTTTAGAAAGACAGCAGACATCCTGACCCATAGTACCTGTCATACTTTTATATAACACATCCTGTATCTTATATCCTATAGGTTCTCTCAGTGCCTGGCAATGTATGTTAAAACTCATCACTTTCAGTTTATTTTATGATCACATAAATGATTATTGCTTTTATCTTCTTTTGCAGGAAAAGAGGAATAGAAGTTGTTCAGGTAAGTGGGCAACTTTCTTTGCTCTGATTCACTATTTTTTTAGTTTTTTGTTGGTTGTTTTTCAGATTGAGTTTCTTGTGGTAGAGTTCAAAATACACAATTTAACTACATGTATATTATTCAGATTTGTACTATAAATCCACCTTTAGTGTGTTACCCCCTACGTACCTGATGTAGTTGATTCACAGTCTTGGTATTTTCAGTCTGCAAGCACCATCAGTCACAGTCCACCAGACCAAGTCTTGTTCCTTGTTAAGCTGTGATGCAACAACTACTCACCCACAATATTTCAACACCTCACTTAAAGGAGAAGTTCGGTTTGGATAAAGGTTTGGACTAACTTGGAGTCCTTCAGACGCTTTTAGATCCACACACGATCGGCGTATATCCATACAACGCAAGTGACTGGGGCATCCACAATACAGCTTCTAAATAACGCATTATCTGCCGCGAAACTCTTTATTTACTATGAATCGCCAGCACTAGTCTCCTGTGAGTCCAAGTTGCTTTGTGTACATACCATGGCAGAATACTTATCAGGTGCTTTACAGTACAGTATTTTTTTAAAGCAGCCGTGTCCTGGTGCTCGGGCGTATTCACCCGGTTAAAGGTTGGCTAACTTCAGCGGGCTAACGAGCAGCCTCGGAGCTAGCGTTAGCTTAGCAAACCGAGAGCGAGTTGTCTTCCTGTTTAATCAACAAACCGGGTGAATACGCCCGGTTTGTTGTGAAGCACCTGATAAGTATTCTGCCATGTTGCGCTAAACTAGCAGCAGCAAACTCTGTGTAAACAAACACAGCTGATTGTCATCTGTCCTGCGGCTGCGCGCCTTGGTGACGTCACCCCAGTGAAAGCCCGGGATGTAAACAAAGCAACTTGAACTCACAGGAGACTAGTGCTGGCGATTCATAGTAAATAAAGAGTTTCGCGGCAGATAATGTGTTATTTAGAGGCTGTATTGTGGATGCCCCAGTCACTTGCGTTGTATGGATATATGCCGATCGCGTGTGGCTCTAAAAGCGTCCGAAGGACTCCAAGTTACTCCAAACCTTTATGGGTGAGTAGATCTACATACCATATGCTGGAAATAAGGACCAGGTTGAAAAAAAACAAACTTCTCTTTTAAGCTCTGTCAACTGGTGCATGTCAAAGTACATGTAAAAATAATTTTTTCTCAAATATGGTTTCAGTTTTATGTTGAATTGTTGGGTTCTTTTCAGTTAGTTGGGTTTTTATTAGTTATTTGATGCAATAAAAATGGGGTCATGATTGATTGACCACATATGTTGGTGGGACATTGATACTGTGGCTCCATCCCTCAATCACTACTGAGCAGACTCCAAATGTACAAGATAGCAGCATTTGTATCCGGGATATTTTGGCCTCATCTCTTGATAGTGTGTGTGAGTCATACTATCTGACACCAGTCATGTATTCTCAGAGTCATATCTTTTAGAATAGATCATAAATGCGAGCAGCAACATATGTTTCGTAATTACAGTCACTTTAATGTGTCATTTGACTCAGGCAAAACAATGTTCTGTCTCAGAATGAGTAAGCCCTACTTAAGGATGGGTGCTGAGTCATGCTCAGGTGAATGAAGGCCACAGGGAAGTGAAGCCCTCTGTCATTAATGGATATTGCACAGTATACTACTCCAAGTAAACACAGCACATACAGCAGCATAGTAACAGTTAGTGCTATGTCATGGGAGTTCAGTGTTGAATAGTACTTGTCAGTTAAATTAGTTTATGCCATGTTGTCCTCTGTTTTTAACACTGTCTCTTGTCTTCATGGGAGGTTCTTTTCCCCTCACTTTGAGGTTATTATTTTCCTCTCACTGTGCTATCAGCACACCCAGAAAGAGCCTTGTCGTGGGAATAGTCCCAAAGTAAGCAGGGCTTTGTTTCCCGCTGTACTTTCAGCCCCTCCTGGGAGTGAGCAGATCCTCACAGACCCTCAGCAAATGGTACCAAGGGACTCGAACAGCCTGCCGACCTTACCAGTTTCTCTTTTTTCCTGGACTACCTGTTTTCCAACAAAGGCTTTTTTTAAATTCCTCCTACAATTCAACATAACCTCTCTTTATTTTTAGCTGGCCCGTCATTGCCAATTGAGAAAGATCAGTTTACTCAGACAGCCAGAGGTGTTCTTCGGTTCACACTGGTGTTTTGGTGGCCTAGGTTGCACCCAATGCCAGTCAGTGCCTGTACTGTCAGGACCGTATCACAAGCAAACATAATAGCAGCCTTTGTAATGCTTTAGCCTTGTTATACAAGTCTGTGTACAAAGCTGTCTTCTCCTATTACACTAGTGAATTCTGAGCTGCAGCACTTTCTCATGAACTCTTTTTCAAAAAAGTGATGAAAATTTCTAATAGCAGATTACATATTTAAAACCTTATTTTATTTCCTTTTGTATTCCTTGTGGTCAACTTTCTGATATGTTTTTATTTCACTCATGCGAAATCCTAAGACAAATTTCCACATAAAGGAATTAAGCTCATGGAAGTGACGGAACATTAACCCTTTAACTGAAGCTTCCAAATTAAAAGTACATTTCTTTGCATACAAAGCATTCAGTTTGTTTTTTCTGTTTTTTAAGCTTTGGAGGTAGGGGAGTATTGGTATGACATTGATATCAAGTGTGTTTAACCTCTAGAAAGCCTTAGTAGAGTAAAGCTTCAGATTTATCTCTTGAAGCCAATTTAATCACCTAACCTTGTCCCTGTGGTTTGACAGACTAGCTGATCCTGGTGTTAATGTAACTCAACCTTGGATATCCAAGGATAAACTAATCCTGCCTCGTTTTCTGGCAGAATAAACTATTACTTACTTACGAGCAGTAATAATGATCATTCGTTGATCCACAGTGAAAATGTGAAATCAGAAGTTTTAACTTGTTTCAGAAATTTTATGGATCAAGGGAATAAACATCAGATTAATTGGTAATACAAATAATTGATAGTTGCGGGAAGCATTTAGGTAATTCTCGTTGATGTGATGGTATGGTATTTACCACGGGAGGGTGGATCCTCCAGAGGGTTGGCAGTGGTTATGATCTCACTCTGTGTGAACAGATCTTTGCTAAATCTGGCAGCCCCAGGGAGTTAATATTATATTCCCATTTGTAGTGTGGGAAAACAATCTATATTTATAATCATCAGGACTGACACAAGTGGAAAAGAACAGAAGGTTCTTTTGTTTGACTTTTTATGATTACAGATTTCAACTCTTTTTTGAAGTAGTTCATTATCACGCTCATTTTCTCTCTACCTTTTCCCTCATTTTGCGCCATTTCATCACTACTGACCCCTTCGCCCAGAGTTAATGAAAGCCATCCTCCCACTGCTCTGTATCACAGAGCTAGATAAGATTAATTCATCAGGCTCGGCCTTGAGGAAGCCCATAATCGCTCTGTGAGAGAGAGAAACCATCACAGCAAATGGTAGTTTTTTGAGTGTGCTGTCAATGGAAAGTTATTAAGTTACCATTTTTATGATATGGTAAGTGCTCAGGAGTTTTAAGTTAAGTTCTTCCATGCTACTGTATCTCACCCACATTGAATTTGTGGAAGATCACAAACAAGAGGTTTTCTTCAGAGGGAAGTTCTCGATCCTGCAGTGCACCAGGATTCACTGGCTGATTGGTGGCAGGTATTTGAAAATAACATCAAGTCAGATAAGTTAAGACGGAGCAAAAGAGTAGATATACAATGAGTGCTTCATCACTCGTAACAAAGCCAAGATGTGTGTTAAACAAAGTTTCTTTGTCATTTTTACATCTACTCAGAATAATTTGACAAGACTGACCCAGTTTATCAGAAATGAAGAGACTTGTGTGGGTGTGTTTTTGAGCAGCCAGTCAGTGATGATGATGATGATGGATGAGATATTCATCAGTTTGACACAGTCAACTTTACAGTGTATTCATTACCACCTCAACTATCCTCAACCCTTGAGTCTCTTGAAGTCTCTTTATTTCTCCATTAGGCCTTAAAACATAAATTCTAAGGGGCAAAAAATGTCCTTAGGCTGCCTGTGTAAGTCATGTAGGCCATATGTATTAATTGTTAACCTGATATTATTAGAATGAGTGTATTTATGATAAAAACATAGGCCTATATTGAACAACATATTCAGCTGCAGAAAAGTGTTATTACTTTGAGGACTCTGAGGAGACGGTTATTGACCCTCCTCTTGTTTTTTTGGCTGGAGATTCCCCTTCATGTTGATCCACTCTCATGTTTAGTCTCATAATTCATGTGTAGCGTGGCAACCAGCCACAGTTTGTCTCAGAGACATGTGTTTCTCTTACACCAGGGTGTCAAGTGCCACACAGCACACAAACTAAATCATTTATCACATGTCTGTCTGTACTTGACACACACGCAGTCTCACTCTGACAACAAAGCAAAAGCCAGATGTGGTTTGAGCTCAGGGCAGCTACAATGGCCCATCTAAAAACATCTAATTACTAAGACAACTGCTCCAAACAGCGAAACAATGTTGAAAACTGAAGTACACTATGGGCTTTGTCCTCACCGTTTGCTCAAAATCACCATTCTAGTTCTTAGAGTTCCCAGGGGTATAGCTTGGGCTCATGTGAAGCTACATCAAAGCTGAAAATATATTGGCCCTGACCTGCCCTGTCCCTCCAGGATCCAGCATGTTTTCTGTGTTGTCCATCACTGCCACGGCCCACTGCTCGCTCTAAGTCCCAAAGGGACTCGCAAAGACGTTAGCTGACATTTCTGCTTTTAGCATTTAGCAGAACATCAGTGACTTGACTGCTGGGTTTTTGGATGAGCTCTAATGTAGGGTCACTGTGTGCATGCACGGAAAAAGGAGAGCTTCATCCTCTGCGATGTGTCTTTGCCAGTGGGTGTTGACCCCCACAATGTAGAGTCCTGTTTTTGTTGAGGGGCCAGGCTGTGGATGGGCCCTCTGTGTTGTGTAAGCAAGAGATTAAAAGCCCTGCCTCAGTGGAGTACAGAAAAATTCCCATCCAGCCGGCCCTGTCACACTGACACTGCTGGCTAGACTAAAAAAAAAAAAAAGGGCGAGCGCTGTGCTTTTTGAGTGACTTGCTGTAAGTCACGCCACTTCTGAGGCCCTGTCACCACTGCTGTTCACAGCAGCTAGTGTTGTAGACCCAGTATTAGTTTATCCACAGGTGACAACACATTCTATGAGTAAGGTAATAGCAGCATGTCCATATATTTATTGCCATATACTCACACCTCTGTGTCTTTGGACAAAACATTTTATGTGTTGACTTACCAACACAGACCTATGATGGTAATAGCAGCATGTCTATATATTTATTGCCATATACTCACACCTCTTTCTTTGTGTCTCTGGATCACACACTTCCTGATAAACCAGCTGGACTGCTGAGATGCCCTGTCACCACTACCTCTGTTTTGTTTTTTTACCTGGGCTACTATCACTTTAGGTTATGCAATCATACAGTATGATTTTATAACATGTCTTCACTTGTATTGTTTTGGTCTTCCTGAAATCTGAAGCAAGGTATTCCAACATCTACAACAGCTTCTGCTTCTAGTTAAGTTGTACACACATCTTTTTGGAAAATACTTATCTTGTGCTATGATACTATGATATAAGTACCAATACCATAACGTGATAGAAATCTAAGGCCTACCATCTATTGGTGGTTCGGGCCAATTTGATCTTAATTGGGTGCCATTGATTCCTGTGATTAATATGGTAAACATTTTGGGTTAGCCATCACCAGAAATTCCATTCTGGTTATATTATTGATAAACAAATTCTCAAATGATTTCTTATAAACTAATAATCCAGCAAAAATTGTATCCTGCTAAATATATCATATCATTCAAAATCGAAAATCATTTTGATAGATGTCAAATCATTTTAAGTTTAAAGTTGAGAGACTGATATGTGCTCCTGACTCAAAGTTGAAGAAATCAGAAAACTAATTGTGCTACACAGAAATGATTTGCGAATCTGAGATACATTCAAAATAATTATACAAGTTACATCTCTCACTATTCTTGCACAATGCATGGACATTATTGACATTTAACTTTTAATGCCCTAACAATACCACAATATGTTGAAATAGAGTTACACTATGATATAGGATTTCAGCAGTATTGCCCACCCCTAGCAATGGATTTGAAGATGCCTCTCATATTCCCTGTCAGAATGAGATGAGAACCTGTACTATAAATCAGTGTCTGGCTTAACTACACCTGAATGTTTCTGTCCTCTGTCGTAACCACTGCTAAGAAGACGACATGTAAATCCACTGACGTTTAGCAGATTTACAACTCAGTGCAATTGATTTTTCAGGGCAGGGCCAATCATGCTGTAATTAGTCATCTATCTGTGACACATCTCAGAATCATTAACCTGAATGTGATGGCCCTGAGTACGACCAACCCTAAACCAACTGAAATTGCAAAGCCTTATAGTTCTTGCATCGATCCACACCTGTATGACTACAGTGTATTCACTATTGTTTTACTGTCTGGACAGCACTGACACAGTGGCCTTCTGCCTGGCTCTGGCTTATTTGCACAGGTGTTAGTGAATTATTTGCTGTCTGTAATAATCTGTAGTCTGTTGATTAGCAAATGAGTAAGTGTACGCCTGCATTACATAACAGCCCTGCAACCAGTTCTCAGTACAATGTAGATGTGCTTGTGCTGGTTTCATTTGGACTGTCTCTTTGAGTCAGTCCAGTGTTTTAATTTTACACATTCTAGGAGTCATAGTGTAATTTGTTTTATATTTTAATATCTTTGTGTTAGTATAATTAACCAACACTAGCCAGAGATTTGTAGTTTGTCTCAAACTATACTTTCCTCTGTGTCTCTTTTCTGGGATTGCTATTCATAACTACTTATTGAAGACAAATGTTTTCTAACTTCAAATGTTCACTCTCATGTACCGAACTTTATCACACCATTCTGAACACATTCACCCAGAGTACAGGCCTCTTATGAATTGTCTTCATCATCCTCTGGTAATGTTCCTTCTTTTGTGGGTTGTTGTGTGGGTGCGCATGTGCTGCTGACCCACATAAATCTCATCACCCTCGGAGGCTGTTGAATATGCTCTGTGAGACTGGAGGTCTGGCCAGAGGGAGATGGTTTGTAAATCGTAGCAAAATGGATGACACCAGGAATTAATCCTGATGATGTTATTCAAAACAAATGCAACATAAACTCTGGCTGCACTTAAACTACAGCTATAAATAAAAGAGGAAGAAAATGATGTGGAATCAGTCCTGATGTTGTAACCAAAAAAGCAGAAAAGAAAACATATGTTTGTTTTCTAGAGCAGAACTATGAGAAGCGTCAGAGAGATTCCTCTTTTTTATTGACACATTAAGAGCATAAATGAGTAGGGCAATGGCAGATTAATAACTTCCCCCCAAAAAATGTTTGGGGTGTCCGACCCCTACTTGAGCCCCGACATTTTTGGATATTATGGGCACCAGCAGTTTAAACAATGAAGTAGATTGCCCAGAACCCTTTCCTGGGTATATAAACTCTAGTGTACAATCAAGGTTTCAGAGTAATACTAAAGTTCCCTTTTGCACTTTTCAACCTGCAAATTACACAAGTGGTGTGAACAAGCAGTAGGTAAAGCAGAAACAATTCAACCAAAGGTCACATGTAAAAATGGAAAGTACTGACTAACCAACTGCAGACAACAGTGCTTTTAGGGGAAGGTATGTATACAAGGTCCGACTTGAGGCCTGAGCTGTGGGGTTTAAATTGATTTCTTGTTTTACTGTCCTCCTCATCCTGTTATAGACAAAACAGAAAGTTGGAATACTGACAGTGTTGTTAATAAAATGTCAGTGACCAAGAATCAGATTTATATTGAGTCATTTGCACTTTCTACTACAGTGATGAATGACTGCCGTTTTTTCAAAACTGTAAGTCACTAAAAGCAGTGCTTTGCAGTCAGAAAACCACTCTGTTTCAAATCATCACCACTTAACAGTTAAGTCAAAAAGCTCTTCATGGATGATTGCTTAGGTATTCAATTTCTAAATGTGGTAAATCAATACTTGTGTCTACGATGGCCCTGTTTGCACCATAATACTTGACCGATGATTGTTCTCTTCTCTCCTTAGCTGGATCTCAGCCAGCCTCTGGAGGAGCAGGGTCCACTGGATGTCATCATCCACAAACTGACTGACCTCATCCTGGAGGCTGATCAGAATGATTCACAGGCTGTGCTGCTCGTTCAAAGAGTACAGGTATGCAACTCCGTCTGCCAATGCTTCCCCTTAGTATTCACAAGTAGATTACATTTTAACCGTGTGGTCCCAGTAAAAGTTGTTGCTCCCTCATCTTGAAAAGTCTTGGAGCTGTGCACAAAATTTTGAAAATGTATGATAAATAGCTTTGTATGATCAACTTTTGGTGTGCGTTCTTTCCTTGGAAACGGTGATAAAATAATGTCAAATATCCATTTACTAGATTTAAATGCACATTCAACCATTCTCCTGGCTTTCACCCAAAAATATCTCCTAGTAATGAGTATTGAACCTCAATAATTATTTATTATTGACTGACATGTGGCATCAGCACCAGTTTTAACTGTGTAGTACCAAAAGCTGGTATGAAAACTCTAGTCAAATATATTATTTTTGATTTATTACTAGTTTCTGTTTATAAAGTAATGCCTAATTTTTACATATATGCAAAATGTAGTGTCTCTGTGTGTTTTTGCTAGATTTAGCATTAAAGAAGTATGGAATCTCTGTGAAATAAAATGTTTAAAGCCTAACATTTTTCAAAGTAATGTAACAATTTATTTGAAATTATACCTGGTTGGGTCTTGCACAATCCACTACAGTGCATTACTCATTGATCATATGGCCCTGTCACTGTCAGCACACATGATTATGAACATTGAGTAAGACCTACAGATGCGGTTTTGTAAATGGAAATAGAAGCCTAGAAACTCTGGATGGTACTGTTTATGACACAGCGGTGCCACTGCTATAGCCAATTAAGATTTATGGATGAATGTTCTGTTTACTGTAATAAATGTCCCAGTTCAAGGAATCAGACAGACAGGCCTAAGATCCATGACTCGGTTTACAGGAACATTTAATACATTAGCAGCTATATTTGAGCATATGAACGCTGTCACTGAAAGTTCTTAAATCCCTTTTCCTTATTCTCCATAAAGTGAGAAACATCTCATGCACAGCAGGTCATAGCTCCAAATGTGGTACTGTGAGCACACTTCAAAAAAGTGTTGTGGGAATATGTGCGTCTGTGTATTCATTAATCTGGTAGTGCTATGAATGATGCAAAATTAATTTTATCCCACCAGCTCTCTTTCTCTTTCTCTTTCTGGATGACTCAGTGGAGCTGTAATCATGATCAGCGTCATGCAATCCTGTCAACATGTTCCTGACTGCTCAATTAGGAAGGACAAACAGGATGTCAGTGTGAGGCAATCACAGAAATAGCACAGCATGGTCAATATTAACACATGGCTGCATTTGCACACTTTTCTGGTAGACCAGGCCATTTTGAAACAAGTGCACATGCTTTTTTTTTTTTTCTTGAAGCACTTTGACAAAAAACAATACTTGTTGACAAAACAGTGGAGGTTCTTACAAATGTTTTAGTTGGTATAAAAACACTACCACACATTTCCAGTTCCATATTTTTCAGTCACGAGTGAGATGTGCAGGGTTTTTATTGGATCAACTAAGGAGAATCATAATGTCCGATTTGTCTATTGTCGTGTACTAACTAATAATTAGCCTGATCATTTCCAGCAACTGGCAGGTTTCCTCTTTCACACATCAGAGGTAAACTTGAACAGCCACAGCCTCACCTAAAACAAGCACACACACATTTCTGCATTGTTAGAGACGGTGAGATGAGTCAATGTAATGCATGAGAAACAAAAAAAGGCAACATGCATAGTTCAATAAGTAGTTCACCACAACCTTACACTTACATATTTTGAAATATAAATTAAGATCATATGGTAGGAATTACTTCCTTATTACACTACCATGAAGCCAGAAAATGACATCATATAATTTAGTTATGCATCAGCTTTTTCAACCAATTCGAAAGGAAAAACAAACTTATTGTAATAATGGTGACATTATGAAATGACATTGCAACAATATAAAAACATTTGCACTGACTGATTTGGGTTTATACACTACACAATATTTCTTGTCCCTTTGATGCCTTTCATTTTAAATTAATTTAATAAAAAACAATTAGTGGGAGTGATTAAAAGAGGCATAATCATTTCGGTGATGTGTTCATGTTGATCATATTTACATGGCCAAACATTGATATGGGTATTATCCTCCTTCTGACTATTGTCTGGTCGTGATTAAAAACGTTTCAAATCAGATTCACAGTGATAACAAAGTTGCACACACCTTCTCTCCCACTCTCCACCTCCAGCTCTTTTTACAAGATCCCCAGTCACAGACCTGATGATAACCAAAGCTCTCCTCCCAGTCAGCTTGTGTATAGAACATTTGTAAAGTATGGCAGAATGTAAAGCAATAACTCCAAGGGACCAAACCGCCTCAGCTGCCTTTTCTCAGGTTTGACAAGGTTGTCATTCTTTTAGCCACTAACAAAAGCATGTGGTCGTAGGTTGGATCAAATAAGAATTTCTGATTTAAAACCTCTGTTTTGTGGCTTAGTCCTGCCTGTACCGCTTCAGTACTGGCTATTTACCTGTACACAGCTGTCATCTGTGGTTACATTTCTGTTGGCATTTGCCCCTTTCTAATGTCACATTGCTTTGATCATAAATAACCTTTGTGTGATGGAGGGAATAAGCCTTCCCCTCTAAAATGGCTTTTATTTAAAACAAAATGTCAGACTGGGATGCACTCTGGTGATTCAGTAACCTGAGGTGTTAGCCGTGTGCACAGCAGACTTATCATTTACAGATTATGATTATTGGTTTATTTATAATGTTTAAAAAAAAAAATTGTAGTAATGTGTGTTGAAAGCTGAGATTTAAAGAACTAAATAAATGTTATGACCTTAATAACTTTTGTTATTGTTAGCTACCTGCAAATTATCTGAAATATTAACCGATTTGAACAATACATAAAAGTTGTGCATTTTATGAATGTCCTTGACTCCTTTTTATTTAGAGATATTTATAATAAAGTTTATAGTATAGATAACTAAATCTTAGGAGACATTTACAATTGCTATTTTTTATATAAATATTGGTAGACATGTTATTGTATTAGCCTTGCTGCCAAATGAGTGAAGGTTTGTTACACACATAAACTAGATGTTGTGGACTGAATCGCATCTGTAGGGTCGAGGTTAGTGTAAGTGCTAAAAAAAAAAATTCTGCCTGTGGCATCACAGACATGATTTCCATCCAATAGCACACTTTAGATCCTCCTTTTCCCTGAGAAACCTCTTTTCCCGATGGAAACAGATCTGCCCTGAAAAATGAGCAGCAAATGCGCAGCAGTTACACCCACACCGGCATACGCCTGGCCCTCTTAACACCAGCTCTCCTTGTGTCTGTCTTTACTGCACTGAGATACAGAAAACAGCTATTGACCGTTCTTATCACCAGAGTATTCCTCTCAAGTCCTGGAAGATTAGTTTGGATTTATTTTTTTTGGCGACAGCATGTTTGACTTACGTAACCGCTCAACAGGCTTTGATCAGCGTTGTCCGTTAGATCCAATGCAAATACTAAAGATGGATCCTGCATGTCAAAGTGAAGGCATTTGTTTACATGTTGTGTGTAAAACAGTATTAGTCTTTGTCTGAACAAGGGTCAGTTCACAAATGGGCATTTTTCCCCCCCTGTATGTGCGTGTTTGAAGTCTGACATTGCTGCGTGTGTTTAATTTCATGCAACCCAGTGTGACAGGGGAGCTGTGGTGTTTTACAGAGCTGTGATGTGAGCAGGCAGGCTGTTTGTGTAATGTGCAGGCCAGCCAGCTCCACCTGACAGCGTCTGTGAGTCAGTAAAAATTGCTTCGGAAGGAGTGGTTGGCAGAGAAATCCACAGCAGAGATGGAGATGTGGAGAGAGTGGAGGGCTGCTGAGAGGAGGTCGTACAGGGACAGAGTGAGCAGAGAGGAGAGAAAAGGAGTTATGTAAAATAGGAAACCTCAGGCTGACCCAACAGCCAGCCATGCAGAGATGTAGTGATGTAACCTACACAGATCCTGTGGCATATATCTCTTGCTCACACACACACACACACAAATCTATCTTTGTGAGGACACTCGTTGATGAAGTGTGTTCCCTCGGCCCTGCCATTAACCTTAACCATCACTAAACACCAACCCAAACCTAACTCTGACCTAAACCTTAACACATAGTCTTTATCATATCACCCCAATTGTCCTCACTGTGTCAGGTCTATAACTTAAACTGCTCCTTTCAAAGATAGAAGTACAAGTACACCAATGCACACACCCATACAGAGTGAGGTACGATGACCCCTTCACCTCACTGTTTGTATGTGTAATTTGCTCACTTCACTATGTTTGTTTAACGTTCCTAAACCGTCCCTATATGTTTTTGTGTGTCATGTGTCACAGCAGATGGTTTCACATGGTGTTCAGCCTCAATCTGTGGTTTGCCTATTCGCACACTTAGGAATATACAGTGTGTCCAGGAGTGCAACTAATGACTGTTTCTGTTACTGATTACTCTGTCAGTTTTATTTTTTTGATGAGCCGATTAATACGTCTGAAAAATGTCACAAAGGACCAGGGAAATGTGTTCTGATAATGTCAAACCTCTGTTAACACTTGACCCTTGATCGTGACTATTAATTTGTCTAATCTGATACAGTCAAAGATAAATTGAACACGCACTGGCTGTAGTGCTGCAGAAGAGTTTTGATCATTGATCAACAATCAACAAGTATTTGCAGCTACTTGTGTCTTTAGGTTGGCTAATCATGACAGAACAAGTATTGGACAGAATTTTGTGCTGTTAATTTTTTTATATGATCATAAATACTGTTGAAAAAGTTACTTAAAGTGTTCATGAAATGTTTATGTTTCAGGACTATATTGATGCCCACCCTGAGACCATCGTTCTGGACCCCCTCCCAGCCATCCGAACTCTGCTGGACCGCTGCAAGTCCTACCAGCTGATTCACAGGATAGAGAGCTGTATGCAAGGTGAGACATTCAGAGGTGTGGTTCGGTCAGACAATGACTTTTTTATACATATATACATATGTGTGTATGTATATATATATATATATATATATATATAAACTCGAGACCAAATCAATCATGGAACACTGACCAATGACCAGTACTGAGCGAAGTAAGACTAAACATCAGAAATGGAGAGAGCTATCGCATCATCCAATTATGTGTTCCCACTGTTCTGCTGAAGTTCTCCACAGAAGAGATGTTACATTGTTTTTTGTCAGTACAGTTGAGAAATAACCAGTTTAAACCTGTCCTTTATTGCATTGTCGTCATGTCACAAGCGTAGTAGTGCAAATGTATTTTTCAGGGCTTTTACTGTGAATAGAATCAGTACACAGTGTGTAATGGCTCAAATCAATTAGACAACATTAGTGGTTCTTTCTGTTCCTCTGCCAGTCTTCAGAATTATATAAAAGCGGTTGTCTCAAATAATAAATGGAAAAATAAAAACAATAACTCTTAATTCCAAGAAGATGGCCGTCCACCTTACTTAATGTGTCTAATGCTATTAAGAGCATGGAGTTGTGGTAACTGGAGGATCTCTGTCTTTCCTCCTCACTTCCAGACGGAACACATGGTTAAAATACGACCCTCTCAATTGAATTATGTTTCTCGATACTTCCGAGCCGATGTTTAATTCCTGCCGGCAGAGCGCCATGCTGATATCCTAATTCCTCCGCTTCTTTCATAATGACAAAAGGACCTCTCTGTCTCCTATTTCCACCTGTGTGAACCCACTATGAACTTGGCTCTGTGCATCTCTCACTGATGGATCAGTATTTGCCTTTAAGTCGATCCAGCAACACGTTCCCCTGTCGCTGAGCACATAAAACTAATCAACAGACAATGACTTTTTGGCAGAAGGCAGAGGGATGTAGTGATGACAGGAGCACATTCCCTACACACACACTGTAAACACACCTGTGACTCATCCACATTTCCTTTTCCCCCCTTACATGGCAGGGAACGTAAACCTTTTAAGTAATACTTCACAGAGCATCCGTGACTCTGGGCTGCGGTCTGGTGTTAGAGCCACGGATCAGAGGCGTTCTGCGTGTCGACAGTGTCAGGGGTTTCTTAAAATAGAACGGCAAGAAGACGTCTTTTTATCCAAACAGACACGATGGCTGTTACGCAACAACGGGTATAAGCTGTGTTGCTCTGTCACTGTGTGTGTTTGGTTTGAAGAAGAGGGTGGCTCGTTTGCTGCATTTATTGGCAGCATAAGCTTTTTTTTTTTTCCCCTCCACTCTTCTCCCATTAATGCAAGTGCACTTAGCCCTGCATACCAAACCTCCCTGACAATTGTAGTCATTTAAGACACAAGCAGAGTGTAAGCCATTATAATCCTAGACCATACCAACACGATTATAGGAAAAACACCATGTGACCAAGGACAAATGTACTTTCTCCTGACAGCGAGTTCAAGAACTGGGTTATGGCGAGAGTAAAATTGAGAATGAAGTGTGGAAAGTCTACCTTGCTTTCTTAGGCACAGGCACTTCCTCCTTATCAGCGGCGAGCACGGAGTCCTGGAGCAGCTGCCAAGGCAACGCAGCACTAAAAGGCCACAGAGAGCCTGCCATGCCTCACAGTCTCCATGACTCAGAATAGTCCTCAATAGGAGGAAGCACTTGAGGTGTGCTTGTGTTTTCTCTGGAAAAGCCAGTGTTGTTTTATCACTCGAGTGCTGTCTCTGTGTCAACCGTCCTAGTCACAGCACATTTAGCCGTTCTGTACTGAATTGTTTAAATTAATATAAACTTGCAAAAAGAATTAGCTCACCTTATTGTATGTTTAATATAAAATAGCCAGACAAGGGCCACAGGAGCACTAATGGATCATTGTCACTGAATCATATGCTGCTCTGTTGTCTGACTCGGTTTTGTGTTTACTATGCGAGCCAGAGCAAGGTAACTGTTTATATAACTTAGTGGAATCCACTGGTTCCTGTGTATACATGACTTTTGATATCTGACTGTTTTTGGAGACAGAAACAGTCGTCAAGTCAACTCTTCTATAAAAAGAGTCTCTGTGCCTTAAGCGGCGTCCTCAAGATAAAAGAATTCTTCCAAAAACATGCAGATTCCTCTGGATCAAACTGAAACTTCTTGCAGCATGAGCATATTAAGTAGGCTGTCTTGAGATCCCTGTGCTAATAATAATCCAAACCAATGGAGCAAGTGTCCTGTTTATGAAAGTGTTGAATATTATGTCATAAATGCACAAAGACAAATGTTATGAGACATTTTAGGAGCTAAACACTCTTCCAGGTCAATGTAGCCAAGAGGATTTTCCAGTTTAGGTAAGAGATTTCCTGCCTGTCAGCTACAACCGTACCTCAACACCGCCATTAGATGATGGATATCTCATGAAAGGAGCATCGGATTTACCTTGTGTGAGAAAAGAGTCAAATTTTTCCTTTCAAAATAATTGTAATTGGAGCGTAAGCCTCTTACTGTGCGATATTTAGTATCACTGCTCTCCGGGCAATGCTGTGTTTGGAGTTCAATTTGAAATATTAAATATTCTGCTGCTTTGCCTCGGAGGGACGCAGGGCCAGCGGCGCGAGAGGATGCTGGGGTTTCTAGGAAACAAGCTCTAAATAGCAACTGGAGAGTCAAGCCTTCCACCTAAACAGCAAAGTATTATACAAAGCTTCATGTAAGTCAGCGTTCTGTTGTGAACTGATCCGAATCTTAGGGCCTGTTAATGAATTTCCTCCTTTCTTTTCACCCTCAGGCACATCAGTCATCGCCTTTAAAAGTGGAGTTATTTATTTGCATGCATGATTATGATGTAACAGCATGGACAGATGAGGAAACACGGCAATGTTGCCATTAGATAAAAGAAGAGGAGAGAAAAACAGCAGTGTTACAGAATAATGACAATTAAAAAGGATCTCATCGTGGAGTCCCTAAACATCGTCCTCGGCACCGCTGGGTCTGCTGCGAGCACGCAGTGTTTAGACAGAGCTAGAGATTGATCCTCCTCACCCTCCCCTCCACCCGCTTATCCGCGAGGCATCAACTACAGCAAAGCATGCACACTATTACAAACTTGGCCACACGTCCTTATCCACCATTCCTTCCCTCTTTATTATAAATCCTTAACTTGGAGCTCAAAATATTTTCCGTCTGACAAGGTTTAGGTCTTTTGAGGGCTTTTGTTTGACAAAATGTAACACCATCAGTCTTTGGGAACTCAGTGATGTAATGGGGATATTTATCCTGCCAGACTGTTTTCTGAAAGACATTATGCTGCTATTCCCGTCCTGTTAAAATAACATCGGCATGACGAACATGGTTGCAGCAGAGATGACTGATGGGTAACCCTCCAGGCTTCCCGCTCCAGAAACTGACTGGTGGCAGAGCCAACACTGGAACAGACCCAACTGTACAGTCAAAGGTTACAGAGCACACGTAACTGTCACGCAAATAATAGAAACATCTGAACCATGCAAGATCTGTTTCGGCTTGCCTTGGTGATGCAGATTAATTCTTCTTAGTAAAATCAAGTGTTCCTATTAGGAAATTAGTTTTGTTCTTAGTGGTCAAAGCACATGTTCAGCTGCAGTGGAGCACTTCTGCATCATGAGGCGAGGTCGTGTTTTTTTTCAAGACAACATCACGATGTGGAAAGTTAAAGGATTATTCAAAGTTATTATGTCTAAGGTCTTATTTTCATAGTCAAAGTCATTGCTGAGTTATGAAAACATTGAAACACTGTGACATAAAGTCAGACTGTTTATAAATATAGTAAACAGGATGAGCCAGATTATCTTTACTAGGAAGAGTGAAAGGGATAACAGAAAAAAAGATGATGTACAGTTTGATAAGATAAGACAGAGACAAAGTACATTCGAATATATTGCACATATGATTTACACATACACAGTTTATAAAATGAAAAGTATAAATATATATTTATCAGTGAGGTACAAATGAAAGAGTTGGATAATAGTTAATGTTATAGACAATATAGATTCTCCCTCAGGTAAGTATGGCACACAGTGACTATTATTTAAAAGCAGTATGTTCATTGGAAATCCTCTTTGTTCTGTTGGACATGTTCTTTATTACATTTTGCCAGGTAATTCTCTCAATTTAATACATAATTTATTATTATTATGAAAAATATTGTAAAATACTCATTGTAGTTTCCAAAGAAATACAAAAGCTATTCAAATTGTTCTCCTACATTCGTAAGGTTGAACCTTTGCCGCTATAAATAAAATAGTGTATGTGTAATACTATGCTAGTATTATAGACCAATATTGGTATAATATTATAACTGCATCAATAAGCTGGAGTTATCCTTCAGTGATGCATCTTTCATAACAGATACAGCCTGTTTTTGCAGATTTTCCTGGTACATACCTGGTTTTCAATAATTGTGTGTGTATGCACTGTATCTGTGTGTTGTGGGAGCTGTAAAAGTCTGTGGGGCCCCATGCACAGTTCAGCACTGTAGTTAATGTAGGCAAATGAGATTCTCCTGACCTCAGCACTAGCGGGAGCAGAGAGCGCCATCACTGCTGAGGCCCACAGCACACAAAGGCCGGCATGTTTCTATTGTGTTTTTGTCATTAGTAATTTGCCAGCTCTCGGTTTAGCCCCCACACTGACTTCCTGTGGTGATATCTCCAACCAGCTCCCTTATCACCCCCGCATACTATTGTAGAGGGGAAATTACAGAAGGCACCACATTAATAAAGACGTGTCCCGAGCCCTGATATGGTAAAGTCTGACGGAGCTGCAGGATGTTTGTTATTTTTCAATCTTATCGGAACTGAGCGACCTGCCGCTACAGGAAGTGACGTAAAAACACATCATAGTCAAACATGATGTAAACGAACATGATGTGGTGGAGGTAGGTGAGAGAGAGAGGCTGTCTGTTCATCCTGATTTAAGTTGTTTAATTAAGGTTTGACCCACTCTGTGCAGTTGTTTTTCCGGTTTTGTTTGCTGCCAAGTGTGTTCAGTCACACCTGTCAGGCATGTAGCTGACTAATGCCCTGCTGGTTTGACTTGTCCTCATGACAATGTGTCATCCTGTATTTCAGCATTTTTCTCTGTGTGTTTTGGGCTTGTGTGTTGTCTGGGAGGAGCAGACAGGCCTGGCAGCTTTCCTCTTTGTTGATTTGAGCAGGTCATTTTTCCTCAGAGCCTCGATGGCCTCTGTTGTGTTTGTTGCCTAAACGTGTGTGTGTGTGTGTGT